ATTAATGCCTTTGCTTTAAACAAAGTGTGTCCTTTGGGAGATGAGTAAAAGTAAATATGTTGTTGGGGGTTTGTGTGCCCTCGTGTTGCGAATGTTGAATGTGGGTTCATCTTCTGGGCTCCATATACCACATATATATGAAATAAATCATCAAAGAGCTGAGTGGGAGCCCACAGGCTTGGATTAAACTCAGTTGTTTTGTGAGAGCTACTTCAGGAGCTCACTGATCGTTTTCCATTTACTCACAGGTTTACAGTTGCGTTCCAGTGAGTTGTGGTTGCCTTAGGAGCCTCACTGAACCATTACATTAACTGTGTTTTAAGTTTTATTTGGCTACAATGTTAGACCCTTGAGTATATTCAGTCTTCTGCAGCTCTTAAACCTGTGGCATGCATTGCCCACTTTCAATTGGGGGAAAAAGGTAGAAGAAACAGTGCTGATGGCTTGGCATCTTTGCTGCACTCAGAATAAAGACATCAGGATGCCAGAAAGCTCTGCCCTCTGCAGTGGACCAGTGGGGTGAACTCTAGCATTAGAATGTGCTGCTAAAATGGAGCTGAAAGTTCATGAACTGCATACATTGGTCAAGATGAGTCAACTTGGAGAGATCTGAATTGGTTAAAAAAATTCCAGTATGAGGTCTGCATGAAGATGTGGGCTAGTCAGTTTGATTCCATTTAAGCTACTATATGGCAGACACTCTGCTAGGTGCTGGGCACAGGACAACACAGATGAAGCAGTTCTTGCTCTCAGGGAGCTTGCTTACAATCTACTAGGAGTACCCAGCATGTACAGGGTGGATGAGTAAGAATGAATTAAATACAAAGTAATTTTGGGAGGGGGGAGGAGCACGGACAGCTGGGGAAGGGGAGAGGTAAATAAGGAAAGGATTCTTGTAGGAGGTGGTACTTGAAAGCTTTGATGAGTATGAAGGATTCTAGGCATGAAGGTAATCAGCTAGGTGATGCTGTGGATAGAGCATGGAAGCAAGAAGACCTGAGTTCAAACCAGCCTCAGACTCTTGCTAGCCACTGACCCTGAGCAAATTACCTAGGAACTTAGATTATCTGGTACCATTCCTGAAGTGTGGACTCT